AACAAAAAGAATAAAATATCTAGGAATAACCCTACCTAAGGAGACAAAAGACGTGTATGCAGAAAATTATGACAATGATGAAAGAAACTGAAGATGATACAAACAGATGGAGAGATATAACATGTTCTTGGATTGGAAGAATCAACATGGTGAAAATGACTCTACTACCCAAAGCAATCTACAGATTCGATGCAATCCCTATCAAACTACCACTGGCATTTTTCACAGAACTAGAACAAAAATTTTCACAGTTTGTATGGAAAAACAACAGACGCCAAAGAGCCAAAGCAATCTTGAGAACGAAAAACGGAGCTGGAGGAATCAGGCTCCCTGACTTCAGACTATACTACAAAGCTACAGTAATCAAGACAGTACGGTACTGGCACAAAAACAGAAAGATAGATCAATGGAACAGGAAAGAAAGCACACAGATTAACCCACGAACATACGGTCACCTTATCTTTGATACAGGAGGCAGGAATGTAGAGTGGAGAAAGGACCGCCTCTTCAGTAAGTGGTGCTGGGAGAACTGGACAGGTACATGTAAAAAGTTTGAGATTAGATCACTCCCTAACACCATACACAAAAATAAGCTCAAAATGGATTAAAGGCCTAAACGTAAGGCCAGAAACTATCAAACTCTTAGAGGAAAACATAGGCAGAACACTATGACACAAATCACAGCAAGATCCTTTTTGACCCACCTCCTAGAGAAATGGAAATAAAAACAAAAATAAACAAATGAGACCTAATGAAGCTTCAAAGCTTTTGCATGGAAAAGGAAACCATGAACAAGACCAAAAGACAACCCTCAGAATGGGAAAAAATATTTGCAAGTGAAGCAACCGACAAAGGATTAATCTCCACAATTTACAAGCAGCTCATGCAGCTCAATAACAAAAAAACAAACAACCCAATCCAAAAATGGGCAGAAGACCTCAATACACATTAATCCAAAGAAGATATACAGACTGCCAACAAACACATGAAAGAATGCTCAACATCATTAATCATTAGAGAAATGCAAATCAAAACTACAATGAGATATCATCTCACACCGGTCAGAATGGCCATCATCAAAAAATCTAGAAATAATAAATGCTGGAGAGGCTGTGGAGAGAAGGGAACCCTCTTGCACTGCTGGTGGGAATGTAAATTGATACAGCCACTGTGGAGTACAGTATGGAGGTTCCTTAAAAAACTACAAATAGAACTACCATATGACCCAGCAATGCCACTACTGGGCATATACCCTGAGAAAACCATAATTCAAAGAGTCACGTACCAAAATGTTCATTGCAGCTCTATTTACAATAGCCCAGAGATGGAAACAACCTAAGTGCCCATCTTCGGATGAATGTATAAAGAAGATGTGGCACATATATACAATGGAATATTACTCAGCCATAAAAAGAAATGAAATTGAGCTATTTGTAATGAGGTGTATAGACCTAGAGTCTGTCATACAGAGTGAAGTAAGTCAGAAAAGGAAAGACAAATACCATATGCTAACACATATATATGGAATTTAAGAAAAAAAAAATGTCATGAAGAACCTAGGTGTAAGACAGGAATAAAGCCACAGACCTACTAGAGAATGGACTTGAGGATATGGGGAGGGGGAAGGGTGAGATGTGATAAAGCAAGGAGAGGCATGAACATATATACACTACCAAACGTAAGGGAGGTAGCTAGTGGGAAGCAGCCGCATAGCACAGGGAGATGAGCTCGGTGCTTTGTCACCGCCTGGAGGGGTGGGATAGGGAGGGCGGGAGGGAGGGAGACGCAAGAGGGAAAAGATATGGAAACATAAGTATATGTATAACTGATTCACTTAGTTATAAAGCAGAAACTAACACACCATTGTGAAGCAATTATACCTCAATAAAGATGTTAAAAAAATAATCTCTGAAAAAAAATAGGTTATCAACAAGGACCTACTGTATAGCACAGGGAACTCTTCTCAGTATTCTGTAATAACCTATATAGGACAAGAATCTAAAAGAATGGATATATGTATTTGTATAAATGAATCACTCTGCTGTACACCTGAAGTTAACACAACATTGTAAATCAACTATAATCCAATATAAAATTTAAAAATATTTTAATTAAAAAAAAAACACTTATTGCACGATGTAAAAAAAACCAAAAAACAATCCTATAGTTGTTTATAGTTTAGTTTTATAGTTTAATTATTTTATTCTTTGTCCTCCCCCATCCCGCAACTTCTATCTTAGCAGGCTTGAAAAAACTAAATCTACTTTACCACAGAGTAGTGCTTTTATAGGAAATAACCCAATAGTTTACTTCTGTACCTGCCTCATCAGTATCAGCTGGGAATACCCTGTAATCGTGACATTTTATTAACCTCTGCTGTAAAAGCAGGAGAAAGAATACTCATGGTATTTTTCTGTGCAAATGGTGGTTAGAATAAGGGGTGTTGTAGGGGTGTGAGGGGAAAAGAAGAGAGAGTTAATGAAACAGAGTAAAAAAAGAAAAGAAAAAATTGTAGATGATGGAATTATGCTTATAAAAATAGGCAAAACAAAAATAAAGAAATCAAAATTCCCTTACATTATTCCCCCTCACTTTGTCCTTATTAGCCTATACATATAAATGTACAAACCGTCACATATTAATACATACATTAATGTAATATGATATACTGGTGTAGTTCCTTTTATACCTCTTGCTACACCCATATAAGCCTCTATACAAACACAAAATGTCATAGAGATGTATTATATATTATACGTACTATATATGATTATATATGATATACAAATATATATCATTCTATATTATCCGTACTAAGTTATACATACACACAATTTTATTTAAATTGTATACCTATTTTAAATTTTATTTAAATTGTAAACCTATTAAATTAATAGGTTACAAACATATTGTTCTATAATTTGACTTCCTTCACTCACACGATTTTTTATGGACATTTTTTAACGCTAGCACCCACAAAATAATGTCATTCTTTTTTTAAACACAAGCTGCATAGTATGAATGTACTACAATTTAATCAATTCATTCCCAACGAGGCATGCTCCAATAAGCATTGCTGCACATTTTCTGGTTATTTTTTTGTAGGTAAAGTTCTAGAAGTGCTCGGTCAGAGGGTAATGCGCACAAAATTGTGACAAGTATGAAAGCATAACCGGAACAGCCAGGACGTGGAGATTCCTGAGGCGGGTTAGGGAGAACAGAGGAGGACATGCAACAGCCTCCAGGCTACCTGGATTCCACGATTAGGTGAAAGGTAATGTCATCAGACAGCAAAAAGAAGTTAATGACCAAGGCCAGAGCTGGGGGAGCTGGAGAGCCCTTATGTGGTGAGGAAACACGAAAATCAAGAACGAAGCCCAGGAAACACCAGCACCAGGAGCCAGAGGAGAAAGGAGCAGGCAGAGGGCTAAGAGGCTGAACTGGGGTCAAGTGTCACAGAAGCCAAAAAAGGAAAGGGCTTCAAGGAGAGAGACCCACAGTGGATACAGTGGGATCAGCGAAGAGTAAAGAAAGTGCTCATGAGATCTGTGCGCGGTGGGGTGGGGGGGAGATCATCAAATCACTTAGGTAAGAAAAGTTCTAATGACAAAGGTAGGAAACAAAAGTTACAATGAAGTAGGCTGAGGAAAAAAAGGGAATCAATAACATTAAGAACACCTGCCCTGGGACTTCCCTGGTGGTGCAGTGGTTAATACTCCACGCTCCCAATGCAGGGGGCCCAGGTTCAATACCTGGTCCGGGAACTAGATCCCCCATGCATGCCACAACTAAGAGCCCCTTGAGCCACAACTAAGGAGCCCACCTGCCGCAACTAAGACCTGACACAACCAATTAAATAAATAAATATTTTTTAAAAAATGAAGAAGAAGAAGAAGAAGAACACCTGTCCTTTCAAGAAGCTTAGCTGTGAAGGAAAGGAGAGGGAGCGGGGAGGCAGAGAGCTGAAGCCCAGGAGGAGTTGGGATGTGCCTGCTGTCTGCAGGGACTGACCTGAGCGCAGATATACACCGAGAGGCAGGGGCGGGGGAGAAAGGCGGAGGAGCTCAGGCAAGAGGGCAGGAGGGAAAGAGTGCTTAGATGGGGGTCAGGACACAGACAAAAATGCAGCGAGTTCAGACATCCGATCGCAAGTTCACAGCATCCAATCCTGAGTTCACAGCATCCAAACCCAAATTCACAGCATCCGGTTCCGTACTTGCTCACAGGGTTAAACGCACAGCTGACTGAGAACGAGGTGGGGAGCTAGAGCCGTGCTCTGCAAACTGTGTTCACAGGCGCCACCTGGGCATCCTGCTATGGGCACATTCTGACTCAAGGACTGAACCGCTCACATGCCGGCAGGGGACGCAGAAGCCGGGAGGAGGACCACACTCTGAGTCACAAGGACCCACAGGGACCGAGAGTACGGCACCGCTCTGCACCGACCACAGCCAAACGGGAAGCCCCACCCGCTTGAAAAAGTTGGGCCTTGCCAAGGAATCATCTTTGGCAGAGAAGGAAATAAAAGTTTCTGGCTGTTTGCCTGAGCATTTGTTTCTGCCCCGGAATAGCTGGTTGAGCTTCTCACCAGCTGCCAGGTAGCCAGACTGGTTTCCAGCTGGGGCTGCTCCAGAGGATGAGGGCCTGAGGGGCAGCTCCCCTGCTCAGAGGATCCGGGCTTCACTCCACCTCGTCCTTTACACCTTAGAGTTGCAAGAGGAGAACTCTGAAGTCCCCTGCAGGTGCGTTACTGCTACAACCAGGGACCTGAGGGGTAAATGTCTTCCCCTCTTACTACAAAGGACAGACGTGGTCAGTGAGGAGATGCAGGAGTAGAGTTAACGTCTGGCCACCAGCAAAAAGCCTGACAACTTGTGGACTTCATACAAAAAGTCTTCATTTGAAATTGTATTGACGGAATGTCCTTGGGCTCCCCTGGTGGTGCAGTGGTTAAGAATCCACCTGCCAAATGCAGGGGACACGGGTTTGAGCCCTGGTCCCGGAAGATCCCACATGCCACGGAGCAACTAAGCCCATGTGCCACAACTACTGAGCCTGCGCTCTAGAGCCCGAGAGCCACAACTACTGAGCCCGCGCTCTAGAGCCCGAGAGCCACAACTACTGAGCCCACATGCCACAACTACTGAAGCCCGTGCTCTGCAACAAGAGAAGCCACCACAATGAGAAGCCCACACACCGCAACGAACAGTAGCCCCCGCTCTCCGTAACTAGAGAAAGCCTGCGTGAAGCAATGAAGACCCAATGCAGCCAAAAAAAAAAAAAAAAAAAAGAAGTCCTTAAGGCTGATATTAAAACCATTATCACATTCTATTACTTGAGACTTAGAAATTTTCATTTTTTTGAGACAAATCAACTTATTAGTATTTCCTCCAAAATACCCTGAGTTTCACTAGAGTAGTTTTATAGACTTTAAAAAAAAATATTCATTTATTTATTTGGCCGTGCCGGGTCTTAGTTGTGGCATGCGGGATCTTCGCTGCCACGTGTGGGATCTTCGCTGCAGCATGCAGGATCTTTTGGTTGCGGCATGCGTGTGGGATCTAGTTCCCTGACCAGGGATCAAACCCAGGCCCCCTGCATTGGGACCGTGGAGTCTTAACCACTGGACCACCAGGGAAGTCCCTAGAGTAATTTTAAACAAAATAATTCATGCCCTAGATCAGAGGTCAACGAACTTTTCCTTAAAGGTCCAAGCAAGTATTTTCAGCTTTGTGGGCCCCCTCTGTTACAGCCACTCAGCTCTGCTGCTGTAGAGTCCTGAGAAGCCGCGGACAATACGGAAACAAATGGGCATGGCTATGTCCTAATAAAAAGGCATTTACAAAATCAGGGGGTCAGCCAGCCCTGCTCTAAATCAAACTGTGAATCACAACTAGATTTAATTCCAGTAGTTAAGGAAAATACCTAATAAAATCTGAAGTTTAATATAGTATGCAACTGCCTACCAGTTTTTTTAAACATCGTTTTCTAAAATCAGTGATCAGAATAAAACTGCAAAACTAAAATATTCTCTGAACTACAAACCACATAGAATGTTTCTAATTTACATAAAATAGAGAAACAGCGCCTAAAAAAGGCACTATTCAGTTTAGAAAGGGTAATTCAAGCCCTCAGAATCATGGTGAACAGTGTAGGCTCCGAAGCCAGCCAGACCTGGGTCCAAATTCTGGCCCCAGCCGTGGGGTTAGGGCCTCAAATTTCCTTGACGTTAACAGTATCCACCTATTTGGCTGCTGTGCCAGGCACAGAGTACGCCCCAAATAAGTGCTGGCTAAACAGTGAACCCCAATTTCCCAAGTCTCGTCAGTAGCAGTTTTTTAGTCAATGGCTGAACATATTCATCTAGTCAGCAAAAGAATTTTAGGATTTTTTTTAAAATCTGATTTTTCTCTTATACGTTCTATAGGTGCCTCGGGCAGAAATGCTGAGGTGCAAAACTTGGCAGGTGCGAGACAGGGAGGACATACAAGGAGAAGGTGCAATATGCAATGGGAATCAGAGGAAAGAGTTGTTTTGTAGAATTCTGTTTAGATGAAACTGCTGCTACAAATCTCACCCCTGTCAAAGCGTAACCGGGGGACTGGAAGGGTCAGAAAACTAGGCGCAGCAGCGATCTGCGGGGAGGGAGACCTTACGTTTTCATCTCCTTCTGCAGTATTTCAGTCTTCACTAAGAACCAACCTAAGGATCTCGGGTGTCTACGCACCAGATGGTAGTAGCCACTCACACCACAGTGTGACAATCAAAAATGTCTCCACACATTGCCAAGTGTCCCCCAGGGGAGGGGGAAGTCAGATCACCTCCATTTGAGAAGCCTTACTCCAGGGCCTGGCAAGTAGAGTTCTAGCCTCTAAGAAAATGTTCTTTTGAACCAAGTCATGTATTACACCCTCCAGAGTTGGAGAGTTCACTAGAACAAGCATGTCCTATTTTACAGGAAGGTTTGGGCATCTGAAATGGGATCTGCATTAGAAAATTTAGAAATAGTTGCAGCTTGATGGTTTTCCTTTGCTGAATTCCCCACAATGGTTTTCCAACTGAGGTCCCTGCCATAGTGGAAAGTACTGGACCGGGTGTCGGGAGTGTGGCCTGGGGTCCTGGATCCACTCAGTCAGATGCTGCGTCAGCAGCCACAGCCTTGGCTTCACACGCCTCAGCCGTGAGACAAAAAGCCTGGTTGGCCTCTAACTTCATCTTCCAGCTCAAAAAATAGGATTCTCCTGGGAGCTCCATCCTAAGGCCTGGCTTCCTTTATCCCCCCTGACCAGGGTACCGGGCAGCTCCCAACACTCGGCGCTCTGTGCCTGTTCTTCCAAATAAAGGACACCAACCCGTCCAACACCAATGCCGTAACACTGTGAGCTGTTAAGATCATCTAATATCCAAGTACGGAATGTTTAAATAGTGATATTATTAAATGAAAGCCCACCTCTTCCATGTACTGGTGTATTATAGCTTTTACAGCGGGCATGTTGGTGGCATCCATCATCAGGGTGACTGCTTGCCCTTTTCGTATCTTCACCACCCCTTTGAATACCTGCTGATTATTATAACAGGCGGCCAAAGTGGCAATGGCCATGACCTACAGATAAGGAGAGAGAGAGGAAACACTAATTCATCTCATTTCGTGAAAAGAAGTGAGAAACTGCACGGTAAGCAATCATCATGAGAAGGGAAGAGAACCTTCGGTAGAAAGTGCCGAAGGGCTAAGATGCAACTAACCAAGAGAAAAAACCCATAAAGAAAGCATGTCAAGACCTCTCCCTTTCCCATGTTTCCCCTTCTCAGCAAAACACAGAATCAAGTGCCCTTTGCAGTCTTGAGTAATTCTATAGTTTAGTCACGATATTTCCTTTTTATTTGGAAAAAACAAACACAAGCCAATGTAACATTTTCCATGCTGGGGCAATGGGTTATTAGATCTGAAAAATAGATATTCCAAAATAATATCTGGAAAGGTTTTTCTATTTTGTTTTTTCTCCCCATTTTTCCTACAACGAACATAATCATTATACATTAAAAAAAAAAGTAGCATGGGGGTGGCAGGGGACAAAAGAAAGGGGGCCGTGTAGTTTCCCATGCTCAAGGTAAATTATTTCTAGGATACATGGAAACATAAGTCTGGCATAAAGAGTTTAGTTCCATCAACTGGTCAGATTGGTCATTAGAACAAGACGAAACCATGCTTCCAAATCAGTTAAATCTTATAACTTTCTTCATTTTATTTGAGTTAAAAACGGAAATAACTGGTAAAGGCATTTAAAAAGTATAAGCTCCTAGGTCCACAGGACCAGGTTCTGTTATCCCAAGATCTGGGAAAGGAAAGCCAAAATTAGGTGCTTAAATAAGACTTTTTAGTAACAGCTTCACCTGTGTTTCACCCAGCACTCCTCATAAATCTGACTCAAAGCCCTAGATTTAATTGTGAGGATAAACATCAAACTAGCTCGTTTAGAAAAAAGGGTTCTAGAAGGTTCTGGAAAGAAGCAGGCTTAACCTCAAGGCTGACCTGAGTGTGATGGCCATGGGGCAGAGGGGAGGTGTTGTGAACGTGCCTGCCCCTGGCAGAAGAAAATACACCAGAGTCATTTTTTTGAGGAACCACATTCCGGAATACACAGACCAAAACAGTACACGCATTCCAGGCATGCCATCCCCAGCACACCACCCCGACCCCTCGGCCTCCCCGATCCACACCTGTGGAATAGCACAGAAGTTGAATATGCTCTGGTTTCTGAGTCGTGAAAGGTAAGTGATGACGTCAGGGATGTGGTGCAGCGTGCTGGCTATGAGCTCATTCAGGCACTGCACGGCCAAGTCCATGTTCTCTGGCTTGGCAAAGTCACCCAGCTTGTTCACATACTTGCTCCAAGCCTAGGCAGATAAGATCGAAAGACGAGTCAGCACATGCACAGGGGAACAGTGTACAAGTCACATGAAAGGATCTTTGTGTATAAGAACTATGATATACAAAGCCTTTCTTAGCTGCTGCCTCATCTTTCACCAAGACCAAGTCCGTTTTAACCTCTATGCAATGTCTATTATGACTACAATCAAGATCTAGTCATAATCAAGAGTCAGTTAAGTATTTGGGAAAGGGTCCCTTTGGGACAATTAGTGCAGCATGTACTAAGCAATACTTTGATGACCTCAGGCCAAAGAGGCCTCCTGTTATTTGCAAGGCATGGGTCTGTTCCTGAAAAGATAACCAGCTTTAACAAAATCAGCTACAACAGCACTACAAGCTGAACACTAAACATTCTCAAGATGGCCAAGGCGTCAAAATAATTAATGATTAACATTACATTCCCAGTTCTGATAAGAACACTGCTGAACAAGCGTATCTGGGGAAATGAGCTGAGTCTCTACTGTAAGAACATTACCTCCTTGACCTTAGTGACCTGAAAATGAAATAACCGCCTCAACTCCAACAACAGAATTGGTTTGATGATCTTTAATAGTATTTAGAGGATTCTCTGAAGCTAGCAAATAACTTACTTTTATCCTTGGGTATTCTTAAGCTTCCTAAAGAATAACGCTTATTGTAACTTTATACACTCCCCAAAATAAATGACTAGGCCTAAAAGGACTAAGAGATTCTATGGTAAGTCACGTTTGCTATCCATTCTTAATTTGCACCTAAACCCACTCAGATTGCTGGTACTAGACTGTCCTGCAGAACCTGGAGAAAAACGCTAATGGGCGCCTACATATCCATCCACCAGCTTCAACAGTTACTGACACTTGGCCAATCTTGTTCCAGCTATATGGCCCCAGCCCCCAAATTATTCTAAATTAAAGCCCTAAGATATCATTTTATCCACAAATACTTCATTATGAATATCTAAAAGACTAGGAACCTTTCTTGTACATATATCTTATCACAACTAAAAGTTAACGATAAATATTTAATACAAATTATCCAATTAGCAGTCGTATTATCCCACTGTCTAATTTTTTTTCCACTTGGTTTCTTCCAGTAAGTACCTAAACAGGATTCATATGTTGCATCTGGTTGATGTCACATAGGTCTCGCTGCTCAGTTTTTATCTCACCCCTCAAGGTGGGCCCAATCCTGGAAGAGAATCCTGACTGGTCTGTGTCCACGTCCAGTTCAAGGGGGCCAATGCACTCCAGCTCCTCCAGGCTTCCCCACGGCCCCCGTGGACTCGCCCACAGCCAGAGAAGGAACACCCATTCCTGTTTCACCTGCTCTTCTCAAATGGGTCCATCCCACTGTCCACTCCCGCTCTCGGGTCTGAGACACCTGTAGCACCTTGGCTTTGTCCTGCACAGGTTTTGCAGGTTGTTTTCGGAGCTGCTGTTTTGTCTGCACCCATCTGTGTTTTGGAGTTCCTGGGGGTGCTTTGTCACTTGTGCTTCTGGACATGCTATCCATTGTTTTGGATACATCTGTTTCAGTTTTTTGGTTGCGTTTTTGTCACCTTTTTTTTTTTTTGGGGTGAGAATCTGGGAAAATCCAAACACTATGATGCTACCATAATCACAGTTTTGCAAAATCCAAAATTCCAGCTAATAAATGCAGAAAGGATGACAGAATTAAGATAGCACCATTTAGCATCTCCACTGATAATGGATCTAGGCAGTGACCACCAAGGAGGAGAAAAAGAACCCATAACGTATACGGAAAAGAAAAGTAAGTTATCATTAGATTTTCAACAGCCAGTCCTAAAGCGGGATAACATGGAGTAACACGTTTAAGAAACTCGAAAATGTGAGCTAAAAACTTTATATCCAGAAAAAGTGACCTTGAAGTATAAAGGACAAACTATTACCAACACGTATAAACATAGGGACGTATCGTTCTTTTTTTTCTTCAAAATTCATAAATATTAATGGACTTCCCTGGTGGTGCAGTGGTTAAGAATCCACCTGCCAGTGCAGGGGACATGGGTTCAAGCCCTGGTCCGAGAAGATCCCACATGCCACGGAGCAACTAAGCCCGTGCGCCACAACTACTGAGCCTGCGCTCTAGACCCCGTGAGCCACAACTTTCTCTAGTTGCAATGAGTAGAGGCTACTCTTCATTATGGTGTGTGGGCTTCTCATTGTGGTGGCTTCTCTTGTTGTGGAGCACAGGCTTTAGGCGCACAGGCTTCAGTAGTTGTGGCACGTGGGCTCTAGAGCGCAGGCTCAGTAGTTGTGGTGCACGGGCTTAGTTGCCCCGCGGCATGTGGGATCTTCCCGGACCAGGGCTCAAACCCGTGTCTCCTGCGTTGGCAGGTGGATTCTTAACCACTGCGTCACCAGGGAAGTCCAGTCTTAATGGCTATCTGATCTGACAATTTAGATATAAATACAATGTAAAAATAAGGAATTAGCATATGCGAAAACATTTTCAACTGTGCTCAGTAGTCATACTTGGTAGCAGTAGCACTACAGTCACTATTCAGAGACTGTGGTAATGTGTAATTACATTTGTAATGTGGGAAAAAAGCAAATGAATCATTATGGGATATACTAATTCTATCATCTCCTATTTTCCTTGAGAAATACGACTGTGGATGAGGAAGAGGTAGAGATGTAATACAGAAGAGACTATGTAACAGTCCTGAGTTTGAATTGGAAATATCAATATAAACTACAAGGTAAATATTTTAGATTTAAAACTAAATATATACGACGACTACTCCGAGAGCAATGACCACCCCGAGTGCCCAAGTGTGGTCTGGAGTCCCCATTTCCCATTAACAGAAAGCTTAGGCTTCCTGAAGAGCTGGGTGAGTCCAAATCCCAGTCAAAAAATGTACAAAATGAGCTTGGAACATCCTGACATACCACCAAATGGCACGGCAGCTACCAAAGACTATTAGGGTCCCATCAAGGGGACTGAGGAGCCACTTGAACCTCTTTCTACAACTCTTAGTGGATGGAGCTAGAATTTTCTAAGAGAAACGATATCATGAGTTCATACTGATATTTCCAATCCAGTTTAGGATCACTGGAGTTTTTGCTTAACTTCAGTGTTTTCTATCTTTGCAACTTTTATTTTAGACTGAAAATCTTGCTTCCTAATGATACGAACAAAATTACCTATTTTCTTTAAGCTGTAAAGTTTCTATAATAGTTTCAATATTATTATTCACAATATAATTACTGAAAACTTTATTCCTTTCTGGTTTATCCTTCCTTTGGAACTACACATACTGTTAACGCACCTTGCTTTTTTCACTTAGTAATATAACCTGGAGCTCACTCCACAGCAGGATCGCTCTTTTGGTGCTCCACTGCGTGGACAGACCATAGTTCATTCCCTCCGTCCCGTACGGACGGACATGAGTCGTTTATAAACGTAACTATTACAAACAGTGGCTGCGGTCAGTAACCTCCCACAGCCGTCACTGGCCAAGCTTGCGCTCACCATCCGCACGGGAGCACCCATTTCCCCAGCATGGCTTACAGCTTACCAAACTTCCGACACTTTGCCAATCTGATGCAGGAAATAGTATCTCACGACTGTTTTTTGTGGTCGTTAAGCTGCTTGAACTGACATTTACTAAGCACTCTGTGCTAGAAGTTTTTCTCATTTTATTCGCACCACTGCCTGGTGGTATAAACTATTCTATTTTACAGAAGAGTGGGCAGTGAGGCACCTGCAGGGATGCAGAGCCTCGTCTGAAAGGCGGTGTGGTTTCCTGGACAGGCACCGGGCTGAGACCCAGGAGACAGAAGCTCCCCTTCTGGGAGTCCTGAGACAAGCCCCTTCTCTTCTCTGAGCCTTGGTGTCAAAGGAGGGTCGTCAAGAGCTGTTTCTCGACCTCGCTGCACACCACAGTCACCTGGGAGGATTGAAAACCTATGATGTCTGAGGTCAGGGGAGGTTTAATGTGAATTTCACCTATCAGGAGTAAGGTTGATCACTTCCCAGATATTTAAGGATCATTTCCATCTTTCTTTCTGTGAACTACCTGTTCTTATCCCTTTACCCATTTTTTCTGTGCAGTTGGTCTTTTACTTAACTTTTGGCAGTTCTTTTAATATTAGGAGTATTAACTCTTTATCTGCAGTATAAATTCCAAATATCTTTTCCACCTTCTCACCTGCCTTTTTTCACCTTAAAAGCACTTGGTTCTAGGAAACCGTTTTTTTTTTAATCTTTTTTTAAAAAAAATAGATAAATTTATTTATTTTTGGCCGCATTGGGTCTTCATTGCTGTGCGTGGGCTTTCTCTAGTTGCAGAGAGCAGGGGCTACTCTTGGTTGTGGTGCATGGGCTTCTCATTGCGGTGGCTTCTCTTGTTGAGGAGCACGGGCTCTAGAGCGCAGGCTCAGTAGTTGTGGCACACGGGCTTAGTTGCTCCGCGGCATGTGGGATCTTCCCGGACCAGGGCTCAAACCCGTGTCCCCTGCACTGGCAGGCGGATTCTTAACCACTGCGCCACCAGGGAAGTCCCTAGGATACCATTTGATGAATTAAAACAAAAGGTAAATGCTGGAGTAAAATCAGGAGATAGTCATAAGATTTCCTAGCTTTCCTTCTGAATAAAATCAATGTCAAAGCCCTTCCTTTCCCTGTCCATTTTAAATTAAGTCAAAGATCCACTCTTGTCTCTGATAATGAACATCTGTAGTGGGTGCCCATCTGGTGCCCCTTCTTGCCACCGAGTCCTTCTTTCTTGGAGGAAATCCATTCTACATGTGTGGGCAGACATACTCCAGGTCTAGACTGAGTGCTCAACGCTCTGGCTACTAACTGATTAAGGGATGGGCATAGGAACCAAGCCTATGAGTGAGTCATGGGACGTTATACCCACCACTGGACAAAGCCTGTCCAAGAGGTAGAAAGGGGACAAAGCCTTATTACATAGTCTGAATCCCTGGATGCAGCCCGTCCCCCTGAAGCAAACTAAATCCTAACCTAGTCTACACTGTCTCCTATGCTGTCTAAGGGAGCTTGATTTGTGTTTCTGTCACTTGCAACCAAAAGGGTTTAATGTTTTGTTGTCAGAGAGCATTCAAAATTATTTCTCCCCAAATCCCCTGAACCTATTACCTCTTGAGGCCAAAACTCTCTTCCTTCTCGCTGGTCTTCCAGATAATCACGGATGATGTTTGTTTTCTGCAGAAACAGGCCCATAGAGTTGGCAAGCTCTGTGTCTTCACCAATTAAGGGATCTTCTAACTCTGAGGCCGAGAACAGACGAGAAAGGCCAATTCCCACCAGCCCAGCAACATAGTGACAGTACTGTAAAAGATGATTTTTAAAGTACTTTAATAATGAAACTTTTACTAAAACAGAAATGCTACAGATTAGCTATAAAAAACCAGGTTCTAAAAAGAACGTAAAAGATCTCATTTTGCTTAAAAAAACCACATTATACACCATGTACATGTAAAGAGTAAAAAACATTCCAAGAAGGATGTGCACAAAAGACTTAACAAAAGTGATCTCTGGCTTGTGTGATGTTTCTATTTTTTTTATTTTATTTTATTTTTTACTGTATTTTCTATATCTGTACAATGCACATGCACTGCTTCTAGAATAAAAGGTTATTGAAAAAATAAACTAGTAAACTTTCTGATATCCCAAATTGGGAGTGAAGGCCTTGAGGGAATAAGGAATATTCTAACAGAAACTAGAATACTAAGTAGAATTTAACCTTGAAGACATTTTAAGATCTTGCAGTGTCTCAAAATCCTCATTAAGTAAAAGAACGTAGTGGTACTGCTTTGTTTTTTTACATAACAAGGATGTGTTTTATTTATTTTTTAAATATACTTTCCTAAGTTTTTCACTCATTTTTTAAAAATTTTTTTAATTTATTTATTTAGGCTGTGCTGGGTCTTAGTTGCGACACTCGGGATCTTCAGTTGTGGCATGCAAGATCTTTGGTCGAGGCATGCAGATTTCTTAGTTGCGGCATGCATGTGGGATCTAGCTCCTTACCAGAGTTCGAACCCAGGTCCCTTGCAGTGGGAGCGCGGAGCCTTACCCACTGGACCACCAGGGAAGTCCTCAATGATGTGTTTTAAGCATGCTGCATATTCGGTCCTCACAAACATCTTCTGGGGCACATTCACTAATTATCACCATTGTGCAGATGCAGAAACTGAGGCACAGAGACGTCACTTCACTTGCACAAGATCACTCATCTGGCGCGTCAGAGGCCAGGGATTCTCAGCCAAGCCATATGGCTTCAGAGGCAGGTTGAACAACTTTGCTAAAACTCTGCCTTTCTCTCAAATGAAGTCTGAGTAAATGTAAATCTTAATTGTCAAAGAAGTTTTTTTCTATACAAGTGGTTTGTCAAAGCTGTCCTCCCCGGAGAAGAGTATTCCAAGACAACTCAATGGAATACTCTTTGTTTTTAAATTGAAATATAGTTGATTTACAATATTGTATTACTTAAAGCAATACGTTTATAAAATGAATGTCCACTAGACAACTTAAGAAGTGAAGAGGAGTTAAAGAAGGTACCCTCTGCAGCAGAGTTAGGGGAAGACCAGAGTAGAGAGTGTCTCTGGTTTAAAGTAATACAGGGCTTCCCTGGTGGTGCAGTGGTTAAGAATCCGCCTTCCAATGCAGGGGACAAGCGTTCGAGCCCTGGTCTGGGAAGATCCACACGCCACGGAGCAACTAAGCCCATGCGCCACAACCACTGAGCCCGCGTGCTATGGCTACTGAAGCCCGCACGCCTAGAGCCCGTGCTCTGCAACAAGAGAAGCCACCGCAATGAGAAGCCCGCGCACCACAATGAAGAGTAGCCCCCGCTCGCCGCAACTAGAGAAAGCCCGTGCGCAGCAACGATGACCCAACGCAGCCAAAAATTAATTAATTAATTAATTATTTTAAAAAAAGAAAGTAATACAAAGTCACAGACTAATCAAGGGGTACGATGAAATGGTAGAAAAAGCACTTGAAATATGTTCCAGGAGAGGAAGGATCTGGAAAGAGTAAAGATGCTGAAATCAGAGAGAAAGCAGCTGTGGACAACTACAAGAAATTTTTAAAAGACTTATTAGAAATTAATAAAAAACATTACATACTACATTACAACATCCATATTGCTGTCCAAGGAAAAGTATATTTTATGTTAAGATAACAGTTCTTTGGGTAGAAATACTCCTAGAATGGAGGTATTCATTTTCCTCTCAAGTTGAAGGAAAAGAAAAATATTTACAAGTATTCAGTTTTATCTGATCCGAACTTCTACTCAACAGCCTATAATTAAGTTTCCTGAATAGATCTGCATGGCAGAAAAGGAAGTTACTGTGCTGATAACCAGCGCTGGTTCGTGGCCAGGAGTTTCAGCTTTAACTTTAAATTCATAAACTGATATTCTAGCAGCAGCCACACTCACACTAACTTGTGGAGCATAAACCACCAGTTCCAAAGATGCTGTCATCAAGTTTTGAGTCGTGAAAAATGAGGAGGCCAGACCTTGGACCTACACTCACTCGATGAATATGCAGTAGCATCTCTTTTGGGATCCTAACCTAAACACTATTAGAGACACAAAATATGTACGCAGTTTAGACATTTAAAATGTCTCTGCTTCCACTGAGGTGATGACGAAGTCTCACAGAGGCCATTCCTATGGAAAATGGGCAAGACCCCCTCCCCTCCTATCTTGTATTTTGAGTCAAGTTTAGTCCCCGTAGTCAATTACGTCACTTTGTCCACAGAAGCAAGCTCTCCCCAACCCCTGGCCAACATCCTTCACAGCTGCTGGTCAGGGATAACCTCTGGCCAAATGAAAGCCAGTATAATTGTATCTGCCACATCATCTGCTCTCACAGCCCTTTCCAGCCGCTCTGTCCCTAGAGGAAGACAACATGGGCCCCCCAGGGGCTCCTTCGTGTACCTCCATGTATGTGCACCTACAAGCACCATAAAAAGAGGTAGGTGGACGTTGAGAAACCTGGAACCTCTCGCATCATCTTATTTCTATGAAAAGATGATGGGGAAGGAGGAGTGGGTATTAGAAAGGCACTCACTCCTCAGCGTAATGCAACTATGATCCAAGTTAGTGCCTTGGGATTCTCGTGAACCGTTTTGTTTCTGAGGAAACAGACACAGAATACAATTTAACAGTCTGACACCTACTCCTAAGTAAACGGGGCCAAGGTGGCCCTGAATTTAAAAGTAAGCTCGTGGGGACTCCCTGGTGGTCCAGTGGCTAAGACTCTGCACTCCCAACGCAAGGGGCTTGCGCTCAATCCCTGGTTGAGGAACTAGATCCCGCATGCCACAACTGAAGACCCAGCATGCCGCAAGTAAGACCCAGCACAGCCTAAATAAAGAAATGTTAAAAACGAAAAGAGGGGCTTCCCTGGTGGCGCGGTGGTTGAGAGTTCGCCTGCCGATGCAGGGGACGCGGGTTCGTGCCGCAGTCCGGGAAGATCCCACATGCCGCGGAGCGGCCAGGCCCGTGAGCCATGGCCGCTGAGCCTGCGCGTCCAGAGCCTGTGCTCCGCGACGGGAGAGGCCACAACAGTGACAGGCCCGCGTACCGCAAAAAAAAAAAAAAAAAAAAAAAAAAACGAAAAGAAACCCAAATTTCATTTAAAAAAAAGTAAGCTTGTGTTATGAAGGAACTGGAAATGACTCAGAAACACACACGCGTGCTCAGTAAAGGAAAAAAACATAGAAGACACATTTTAAGATGTGAAAACTATTGATGTCTCTATATTACATGCAATAATTTGGTCATTAACCTCAAATTTCACAGCAAGTCAGAGACACTTTCATCAGCTTAATGTTTGCACCTCTGGGACGAGTTATATCTACTTTGGCCTAACTCAGTGGTCCCCAACCTATTTGGCACCAGGGACCAGTTTTGTGGAAGACAGTTTTTCCACGGACAGAGTGGGGGTGTGGGGGATGGCTAATGCGAGCGACGGGGAGCGGCAGATGAAGCTTCGCTCGCTCGCCCACCGTGCACCTCCTGCTGTGCGGCCCGGTTCCTAACGGGCTGTGGACCTGTACCGGTCCATGGCCCAGGGGTTGGGGACCCCTGGCCTAACTTGACAATAAACTCCCCAGAGCAACGATTATTCCAGGTATGACGACACGTAAGCCCCTATTAAGTGCTTATGTGGAGACATTACAGCTGGGCTGTGAAACCACCCCTTGTCCCTCGGCCCGAATGTCATGGTGAGCACTGCCAGTTCATCAGTGCCACTCACACCAACAACGCTCCACAGGGACACTAACCTTGTCCCACTCCCGTTCAGACATCACACGCTTATCCAGAAACTCTGCCATCCCAAATCCCATCTTCCGGCAAATGTCAACAATCACTGTTTGGTATTTCTCAGCCAGATTTCGAAACTCCAGGGAGATCTGAAATGGAGGTCATAAAAAAACAGAAAATTTGAAATACGTATTAAAACTGGGAACCAACAGGGTACCTACAGATCATAAAGCAAAGCAACAACAGAACGCATTAGGGAAGACTCCCAAACGATCCGGCTATTAGTCTAACATCTAGGTTATGCTAGCTTTCTACATATAGAATAAGTTCGGCAAATTTCATAAATATTAAAATAGAAGGGTACAGAAATGCTAAAGTTTCCAGACTCAAAATAAGATTCAGGGAATTCCCTGGCGGTCCAGGGGTTAGGACTCTGAGCTCTCACTGCTGAGGGCCTGGGTTCAACCCCTGGTCAGGGAACTAAGATCCCACAAGCCTCGGGGCAAGGCTCCCCCCCGCAAAAAAAAAAAAAAAAAAAGAAGATTCGTAGTCTTATTATACGCTCATCTTCCCACCTAGTGAGCAATGAGATAATTCAACATAAAACTGGACATATGTGTAAGAATTTTAGGAAGAATGCCTCATTTTCAGACAAGCCTCATGATAATGAAGATTCATTTGTGCAAACATGTCTTGGCCACTTCCTATGCAACAAGCACTGTTGTGGGCACTGGGAATGCACAGCCGGGAGATGACCAGAAACTCCGCCCCCAGAGCTTATGTTCTAGCAAGGAGACCAGCCAACCACTGTCTATCCTCAGTTCCCGAATTCATACCATGAAGCTACAGTGTCTCCCTACTATAAGGCTACACTTTCTAATTCCTTAAACAACTCAGTTTAGTTCAATCTGCAGCAGGCTATCCAACATTTATTTTTCATAGCCCAAGCTTTAATGTCGAAAAGTACTACTGATGTTCTTAAAAGTCACTGCTACTGTACAAGTATCTTGCTTAAGTTCAAAGAAGTGTCTGTAGGTTATCAAAATAGAATATACTGGGTTGGGCAAAAAGTTCGTTCGGGTTTTCATCCCATCTTACAGAAAAACCAGAATGAACTTTTTAGCCAACCCAATAAAACACCATGAAACTTCTCAAATAACGTGCTATCAACACACAATACTGAAAACAGTGAATAGACTTTGCTAAGCTTCCGAAGTGTGAGAAATACCTGGTCTATGTTTACAGAAAGGTTAGAAAAACTCCCTCAAGGAACACCTAAATTTAAGGACCTGAGAGAAACCCAGAGGGTTGCAGGGCACTGAAGGGGTTCAGAAGCCTAAGATACTTTAGGATTATTCTGATGAACATAAACTGTTAAACCCACAAATTCCATAAAACCAAACTGATCTCTCCAGAACTCTCCTCTACAGAACAGCTGTTCCAAGACAGAGCCAAAAGGTAATTCCCACGTGGACTGAAGCAAACGAACAGCTCTACCAAAGGTCATGTGAATCCCTGAATCTCCCAAGGACCCGGTCTTTCAACAGATCCCAGGCTGGGTCAGTTCTATTTATAAGAGGGGAAAGGCCAGCGAGCTGGGGGAGGAGCAGCTTAGGCTTGAAAACAAAGGCTCCAAAATAAACACTTCACTGCTGGATGTGAACCAACTTCAACTCCTTGGTACTTACTACATCATTATATAATTCAAAACATGAAAACAAAAATATCTAGGGAGGAGTGACCATGAAGAGCTCTACGTTCTCCCAGAAACCTGAGGGAGGGTAGGGAGGGAGGGGCCCGACTCCCCCAGGCAGCTCTGCCCGCGAGGTCAGCCAGGAGGGGCTTTTCCTTGTCCCTCCAGGGAATTCTGTTTCCCAGCTACAGTACACTTCTAGGTCCCAGGGTCACTCTCCAGTGATTCCAAGTACGAGAAGGAAGGACACCACGGGGAGTCCACTGGTACAATGGAGAAAGGCCAGCCCCGAAGCAGGGGCAAGGGGAGCATGTACACAGAAATCTCCCTGATTATAAACCTTGGGGTGTTATGATCAAAACACTGGGTGGGGCTTCCCTGGTGGCACAGTGGATAAGAATCCACCTGCCAGTGCAGGGGACATGGGTTAGAGCCCTGGTCCAGGAAGATCCCACATGCCACAGAGCAACTAAGCCTGTGCACCACAACTACTGAGCCTGCGCTCCAGAGCCCACAAGTCACAACTACTGAGCCCGCGTGCCACAACTACTGAAGCCCGTGTGCCTAGAGCCCATGCTCCTCAACAAGAGAAGCCACCGCAATGAGAAGCCCGCGCACCGCAACAGAGAGTAGCCCCTGCTCCCGCAACTAGAGAAAGCCCACGCACAGCAATGAAGGCCCAACGCAGCCAAAAGTAAATAAATAAATTTAGTTAGTTAGTTTAAAAAAATATTTTTTAAAAAATGGTTTCCTAGAACCAAGTGCTTTTAAGGTGAAAAAAGGCAGGTGAAAAGGTGGAAAAAATATTTGGAATTTACACTGCAGATAAAGAATTAATATTCCTAATATTAAAAGAACTGCCACTAAGCCCATGTGCCACAACTACTGAGCCTGCAAGCCGCAACTACTGAAGCCCGTGTGCCTAGAGCCTGTGCTCCACAACAAGAGAAGCCACCGCAGTGAGAAGCCCGCGCACAGCAACAAAGAGTAGCCCCTGCTCGCTACAACTAGAGAAAGCTCACGCGCAGCAATGAAGAGCCAACACAGCCAAAGGAAAAAAAGAAACCACCAAAACACTGGGTGATGCTACCTTCACCTATATGCAAAGTTCTATTTTTAACCATTTTTTAAAGGGGCAGTAGAGTGTGCCAGGGATTAAGCACAAGGGTTCTGGATGTAGGCCTTTTGTGTTTGAATCCTGGTTCTGCCACTTAACTTCACAGGTGATTTGAGGCAAGGGGCTTAAATCTCTCTGTCTCAGTTTCCTTATCTATACACACGTGGTTAACAGTGTATCACATCCATTACATGTTAAAACTATATTAATATTAAATAAAGCAAATGATAAACCAATAATGAAATACATTTCGTAACTCATAGCTCAATAAATGTACGCTATTATTGCCATTATCATTTAAAAGTAACCCTTTCTTATTTCTCAAGCTGTGTTTGGAGGTAGATCTCTAAGACTACCAGTCTCCACAAGTACCAGGTGAAAAAGATGTACTCTAATTTAACCCATAATATACAATGAGTGTTCTAGAAAGCCTGGTATCAACTAATGAGCACTGAAGCCTTATTACAGCCCCAGGTCCCATGTCAATGCTGACCAGAGGAAGCCTTCAGCCTCTTCACTCGGTTAGAAGGTCCCGTGGAGGCTCAGCCCCACCTTCCACCGGGCCTGGGGCAAGAGCACAACGGTGGCCACACGCCATGTGGCTCAAAATCTTAAACCATCAAGCGAGCTAGTAACTTACCAAGTGCAGTATGTTCTCTTCTCCCACCCTGACAAACACACCTTCACAACCACCTGGAGGGCTCGGGTGTGAATTTACAATTCTTGGCCCCTCAGGCTTCTGTTCCAAAATTAAATAGTGCAGAGACTGCCAGGAGGAGGAATCTCACACTCGTGTGTAAGGACACCCCAGACAGCAGGGTCAAGCTTCACCCACGACCCTCCTGAAGAGCCACCCTCAGGCCAAGGGTCACGGTCACTGGTGCACAGTACACCCTGGAGGAAATGGGTCCCAGGAAACGGACTGCAAGCCGGTGTGTGTGGGGGGTGTCTCAGGGAATTAGGGGCACGCAACCCCAGATCCCCAGAAGATGGTCTACAAGGGGAGCTGCACAAGCTCGGGGCAGGCACGCTCCCACGGCCCCCCTTGAGGGTGAGGTGGCCCAGAGGGGGGCCCTCTAAAGTGAGGGGCAGGAAGGGACTTCCCTGGCGGTCCAGTGGTTACGACTCTGGCCTCCCAATGCAGGGGGCACAGGTTCGAACCCTGGTTGGGGAACTAAGATCCCGCATGCCACACCGCGCGGCCAAAAAAAAAAAAAAAAAAAAAAAGATGCACTTAAGAAAAATAAATAAGTGAGGGGAGGGGGAAGAGCCCTTCTTGCCCCTATCTGAGAGCAGTGCTGTGTGAGGGAGGCCCTCGCCCCAAACCCACTCACTGTACACCTAACCCTCGGCAACCGGAACTTGTGGGATCTTCTAAAGCTCAAGATTTTAATTAGAACCCACTTAACTCCAACTGAGTGGACTAAATACCCAATATTTATAGAACACCATTCTAAGTACTCTACGTGTATGAACTCATTCAGGCCTCGCAGCTCTAACTTTACAAATGAGGAAACTGAGGCACAAGGAAGTTAAGGGGTGTGTCCAGGCTCACACAGCTGCGGGTGGCAGAGATCATCCTGCTTCAGTCCTCAGCTCAGCTGCGAAGAGCCCACGCCCTACCCCACAGCTGCCACAGATCATGAGCTGCAGCTGCACAGCACACCACCGGGTTCAGGGTGCCCCAGAGGCCAGCCGCGCGACACACCTAGGCTGCGTTCTCGGGTGCACTGGCTGGAGAACCCATCTTTCACGACACTGGCACTGGAGTACTCTTTCCACAGGAAGGAAGGCTGGACTTCCCAACAACATCCTGGTAATGACAGTAGCAGCTAACACCTAAGAGCTCCACCTACGTTAACTCTTTCCATCCTCACAACCACACTGGGAGGCAGGGACCATTATTCTCTCTGTCTTACCGATGAAGAAACAGAGGCACAGGCAGGCTATGTAACGCAGCACCAGTTAATGAGTGGGAGCATGGGGCCGCCAACCCAGGCAGTCTGGCTTGAGACGCACCATTGCCACATTATGCTACACTGCCCTGAGACTGCTGGTTTTGCAGTTCCCGCCAGGCACACGGGCCAGCTGACGGCCACCCCACCAATCATGCGCACGACTGCATCCCATTAGTCCCGCTACCGTTGGAAAGTCCTCCAGGACTTGTCGGTCCTTCTCCTTGCTCTCCGTGAACCGCCAGTCGGGCTCATAAAGGTACGAGTGGAAGTTGTGTAACAGGGGGACCTTTCTTTCTATACTGATGGTCATGTCATCTTCCAGAGTGTCCAGCGCTCGGAGAACCAGATAAAATATGCATACTGCATGGCTGTAAGAAAGGAATAACTATCAATACACTGGAACAAACGTTCAAAGGTATTTGTTTTAAAATCACATCTCATTTTTGCTGGGCCATTTTCTAAACCCTCCTACACCCTTAACTCTACAGAACTATGAAAGGATATCCAAAACTTTTCGTACTTAATGCAACTTCTTGGCTTCTCTTTCTTAGATGGGAGCAATGGACTTCTGTAGTTTATTTATAAAAATAAATAAAGAAATAAAGAACCTGCCAGCTGCACGTCACCACTACTCCCACAATGAGTAAACATTTAACTAATGCAGCACAACTGCAGAAAGACCAGCAGACCATTTGGAAGGAACTATTATTTTGCAGATAAAATAAGGTCAAAAGACACAATAACTTCTCACTATCAATACTATCATACCTAACGGCTAAGTCATATACATAATCTGCACAGAGGCAACTTCAGAAGAATTAACCCAATATACTAGAAATGCAAAGTAGCATAAGCGAAGCCAAGGAAAATGCATGAGCCGCTTAGAGACAGGTCCAGCTGCCAGCACTAAAAAAAGTTAATAAACATCCCCTCCCCCTCCCTGAAAGAGCTGGGCCTGCAGGCAAGCTATGAGATGGCCAGGTGCCTGGAAGGGCATTCTAAAGTAAACACAGGCGTGTTTCAACCCCGAACATTTCCTTCACCCACCGGGGCCTGTTCAGGCTACGCCACAAGCACGGCGACAGCAACGCGAGGGGCCGTGTCAAAAAGTGGCTTCGAATGGCCCGTGGCAGTTTTCTTCCCCCAGGTCACAAAGAGCTGCCTGCGCCACTCACCGCATTTCCCCATCCAGCGCCTGGATAACAGCTGCGAAACTGCGACTGGTCTGATTCAAGTACTTGTAACAAGTTTTCAAGCTGCTGCTGAGCGAGTCCTGCGGGCAGAGGAGACACACGGCGGTGGGAGACGCGGAGGGGCTGGAGCGGGGCTGGGGCGGGCGGCCGGCTACCGCGGGGCTCCGCAGCCGGCCGCACACGCCCTCTCCCCGCGGCCGGTCCTTGGAGGGCCAAGCGGCGGGGGGCAAGGGGCAGCCGCGCGGCGGAGTGCCCGCGCCCCTGGGCGCCGCGCCGGGGCTCAGCACCAAGGTCCGCTTGAAAAGGGACATGGCCTTGGTGCCGCAGGCGACTGCGGCCATGGGAACCGCGGGGCCAGCGCCGTTTTTCCTCCATAGACCCGAGAGGAGCGGAGGGGCGCCCACCGAAGGGCGGGACCGGCTCTTGCTCCACCGCAATAGGCTTGGGGAGGCGGAGCAGTGAGCTGGCGTCCGCCGCCCCGCCCGCCCACGTGCGAGCCGAGCCCCGCCCCACACGCCCCGCGGCCAGCCCCGCCCGCCCACGTGCGAGCCGAGCACCGCCCCACACGCCCCGCGGCCAGCCCCGCCCACCCTGCCCAGATGCGAGCCCCGCCCCGCGGCCTATGGCTCACCACCCGCGCCTTCCTCACCGTGTTCCCCTTCTCCCCAGAACCCGCAGGCTGTTGACGGAACCCGAATCTCTCCTCGGCCAAACTTTAGTCAGGCTCCTCAATCCTCCACCTTTGTACTTCTATGTTTATCTTTTGCGTCGCTCAGCTTTAGCAAGAACTCTACTAAATTGGTTTAGCCGATCCCTCATCCGTCATGTATGATAACCCGCACCATCTGACCCGTTCCTCTTCCCCCACCATCCCGGCGCCCTGACCTGCCTCCAGCAAGAATCCCGGTAGGTCGTTTCAGCAGAATGCCCCTTACCCCAGACGTTTCCTCTTAGTACTTTTCCATCCACCCACACCCACACTCTGCTCCTTGTTGTATTCGGAACCGAGCCCAGTTCTATACTGAGGTCTCTTTCCTCTATTGCAGTTGCTTTTCTGAATGAAATCTGATTTCACCCCTTTAACTACTGTCCAGTTCTGGTTTTCCTTTAACACCTGTTAAACCTCTATTATCCTCTGGAAAGCTAGCTATTCCTTTTAAGATTTCTAATCATCTTTCCCTTTCAAATCAGTGAGCTGTAACGATCTTTACGAACCTTATTAACTCTTCCCTAAGGAAGACAAAAACTGTTTTTCCAGAAAAAAAAAAAAGCCATGTTCTGATATGCAAGCATATCAGAAAGAATTGCTGGCTGTTTTGTATATTTTTTTATGGAGACTTTATATTTTAGAGCAGTTTTAGGTTCAGGGAAAATTGAGTGGAAAATACAGAGTCCCCATATACCACCCCCCCAAGTCTCCCGCACTCTCTTTTTAAGAGAGAAGCGGGAAACATTTACAATATCTAACAACAGGGGGGATGGTTTAAAATAAATATATGTACACACATATACATGTGTATATATACATATATATATGTATGTATATGGAAATCCCATAGTCACTTGGGAATGACAACAGTGAACCTTGGGACTCTGCTGGGGTCCAGGTGAACTATCTTCTTTTCATATGTGTTTATTTCCTACCATGGATACATGTTCTTCTGTCAAGAGAATAAAGCTTTTCTTTTTAAATCACATAACCATGAGAAATTATTGCCAAGTTCAATTAAAAAAATAGTAAAAATTAACATTTACTAAGCGCCATATATTAGTAAAATCATTTCGTACATACAGTCTGACATATAAAAATACTCAGTGAAGGTCGGATGAGTAAATGAATAAGTTCAAAGAGTATTTAAAAACAATTCACCAACTCCTTCCCTATCAAAATGTGGAGAGGCAAGACTTCACAATAAAATAGAAGGAACAGAATAACAGCTCTTTTCTGAGCTCTAAGCCAGCTCTTCACATACAACTGTTGTTATCAGGCCACAATGATTCCTTTCACTGCACTGCCAAATGTTTTAATCCCCCGATACAACTAAGGGTTTGGGGGCTGATGTCAAAGGTGCATCACACATTGGGACTTCCCTGGTGGCGCAGTGGTTAAGAATCCACCTGCTAATGCAGAGGACACAGGTTGGAGCTCTGGTCCAGGAAGATCCCACATGCCACGGAGCAGCTAAGCCCGTGCGCCACAACTACTGAGCCTGCGCTCTAGAGCCTGCAAGCCGCAACTACTGAGGCCACGCACCACAACTACTGAAGCGCCCATGCCTAGAGCCCGTGCTCTGCAACAAGAGAAGCCACCGCAATGAGAAGCCTGCGCACCGCAACGAAGAGCAGCCCCTGCTCGCTGCAACTGGAGAAAGCCCGCGCGAAGCAACGAAGACCCAACACAGCCAAAAATAAATAAATAAATTTACATATTAACAAAAAAAGGATCGTCGCACTCGTTCTGAAGAGCAACAGTCTTGAAGGACACCCCCTCCTTTCCAACACACCTTCTCCACTCTTTTTTTAAAGCAGTCATCCTTGTCTTTTTTTTTAATATAAATTTATTTATTTTATTTTTGGCTGCGTTGGCTCTTCGTTGCGGCTCGTAGGCTTTCACTAGTTGCGATGAGCGGGGGCTACTCTTCGTTGCGGTGTGCGGGCTTCTTATTGCGGGGGCTTCTCTTGTTGCGGAGCACGGGCTCTAGGTGCGCGGGCTTCAGTAGTTGTGGCACATGGACTCAGTAGTTGTGGCTCACAGGGTCCAGAGCACAGCCTCAGTAGTTGTGGTGCACGGGCTTAGTTGCTCCGCGACATGTGGGATCTTCCCGGACCAGGGCTTGAACCCATGTCCCCTGCATCGGCAGGCGGGTTCTTAACCACTGGAGTGAGGTCACGAAATCACTTCGCATCTCCTTACCCCATCATTCTTTTTTCCTGGCACCTATTTGTGTCATATACCTCATTCTGTAACAATAATTTCCTCAAATTGCCAAGAACATACAGGGAGCTATAACTATGAAACACACTATGGAAAACACCACTGTTAAAAAATTTCCACTGCTTGCTTCCCATAAGCTAACGGAAAAAAAATTTTTTTAAATAAAAAGCTAAAGCTACTGTGGCCTGTCCCTAGAGCCTCCTGATGTTTTTCTTTGCTGTCTGAGATGAGCGTGCTCACAAGAACTCTCCAGTGAGAGAAAACAGGGATGAAGGGCATTGAGAGGAAGAGTGTGCAGTGGTGAGAAGGACAGGACTGTCCTCCCACGACTGGGGCTCCACCTGAAAGACAGTTCCACAAGTGGACGGAAACCAACCCGCCCCACGGCCTTCCATTCAGATTAAGTAACACAGGCTCCCTGAGAAGGGAGGGAAAACCTCACAAACTTGAGAAATGAAGTTACGTAACAGCAAGAGTAATACCTGCCACTTGCTGGGCAGCTACTACATGCCAAGCACATACAAACATTACGCAACCTTTTAAAGATGATACGATACAGACCTGCAGTCCACCCAAGGTCTTCATGGCCAGATGTGTAGCACAATTCAGAATCTGGAGTGTTTTAGAAGACAGGCAATGAAATGCACATACAGCCTGTCATTGTGGAATGGCTCCCTGTCACTGATTATCGACACTTCCTCAGCAAAACATTTAGAATAGTTATACTAACTGGGATCACTTTATCATATATCAGAGCACATTGTACTGCCAAGTGACCTTGAGCCAGACTTATTAAAAACCTCTTTGTTTTCAGACCATTTTGGAGTTGGGAAATTGTGATTGACAGATTGTGATCCACTGTCTCTATTATATGGAGGAAGAACCTGTTGCTGGACGTTAAGTCACCAAAAGGAATAGAGTCAGGATTAAACTTCATAGACATTAGTCTAAGTAATAGGATTTAGACTTGATAGAAGCCAGAACTGCATGATTACAAAACACTGAATTTTTCCATTATGTGCTCTCTTAGTGATGTCACATAACTTGCAGGTGGTAGTATGATGCCAGATTTACTTATATGCTCCTAAAAATTCAGGATAAGTCAATTTAGGGAACCCTGAACTCCTACAGCCAAATCCTTTTGTGACTGAAATAATCTCAGCCCTCCATGTCTGCTAAGTGTAATTTTTTTCCCCCAGCTTCTTCGTTACCCAAGAGAGAAACTAAGGTAATGTTAAGTGAAGGAAAATGGTTTTTCCTATGTTTCCTCTAACTAGAGGTATACTCAGCTATATTTAAAAAATGGTTCATGGGGGTTAAAAATGGCTCAGGAAAACTACAACTAACAAAATAGTACTGCACTGCATTGCTCATCAAATCTTAGAGCTAGGAGAGGAAATAGCCCAGGTCTCACTTTTTAAAAAATTTAAAAGATTATACTGTGAAAAGTCTTACCCCTACCCCTTACTGTGGCCACCCATTTGCCTCTCTAGAGGTATCCAATGCTACCATTTTTTCCAAGTCTTATTTCATAGAGAAGAAAATGTGACACAGAGAAGTCTCTGGACCCAAATCACAACCCTATAAATTGTGTCCCCTGACTTCAGACACTCAGCTCCCTTGTCCTTCTATCATTTTCCTTTGTAGTACTTCTCTCCACCTGAAATATTGTATATTTGCTTTTTTCCCCTTCTCTCTCTCTTCTATTAGAATGTACGATTCGCAAAAGCAAGGTCTTCACCTATTTGGTTCACCGTTTTATCCCAGCACCCAGAACAATATCAAGCATGCAACCGGCGGCCAGATGTTTGTTAAATAAATATAGGAAGGATAGGAAGGAGGGAGGGAGGGAGGAAATGCACAACAGAATTGGGAAGGGCAGATAGAAGCCAGAAATCGCTGTGTGCCCGTGAAGTGTCTGGTGCACACGTGACAGCACTGGAATGTGATCAGCTCTCTGGGACCAGTCAAAGCCTGTGCTCTTTATTCTGGGTGGCCTCCAGAGTGGAAGCATGAAGGTCTTCAGACAGGCCAGGGATGGCATCATGGAACCACCACTCAAGAGCTTCCAAATTCAACTCCTTTATGCCACAGTTTCCTAATGTGTAAACTGGCAGTAACAATAGCACTTACCTCTTTAACCTTGTCATCAAGATCGACTAAGTATGGTAAGTTACAAAATGGCAACAAAGTTTGTGGCTCTTCCCATCAGGAGGTGGAGTCTATCTCTACCTCTTCGCACCTGGGCTCCCCTTGTGACTTTTTTTGGCCAAGAAGACAGTAGCAACTGTGAGTCAAGCAGAAAGCGGAAGAGTGCGTGCACACTGGGGTTTGCATGACTCTAGTCAGTAGAGGAGAGTTCCCAGGCTAGCCTGCTGGATGAGACACACAGGGCCCAGCCTCCCCTCAATGTTCCAGCCTACAGCCTGCTAATCAGATGGTCCAGCCACATGCCAACCAGCCAGCTGAGCAAACCCAGTAGAAATCACTCAAGTTGGCCCAGACCAGGACACCCCAGCTCTCCAAGAG